TTTTTTTCATATCCCCAATGGTTCTAAATTATGGGATTGTCTAGGGCAGCCTAGTACAATTTTAGCTGGCAGTCCTCACCGCTTCTGTCGCAGCATCCTTAAATTGGCCATAAGGATCCAGGAAGGACTTGTATGTTATCTTGAGGATCTGCATGGGCAGCCAGCAGATCACAAAGATGATCACCACTACGAACATCATCTTCACCACCCTCTTTTTTAAATGGGTCATGACGGGATGTTCTGTAGGGCAGAGTAGTGAATGACCCTGACTTATATGACAGGCTTGAGAAAAAAAAAATGTGGTAACTTAAAAGAAAATAATTTTATCAATACACTTACAACTTACTTTAAAAGTATTTTCTGATTTCAATTTACATACCAAAGTTTTATTTGTCTTTATTTTTTCACATGACCTAGAAATTATGAAAATAAGTAATACTGTTAATCTACAGTACTAAAACAGCTTTTTAATATTTAAGCAAAATTGGATACATCAGCAGTGTGCTGCTATCCTATTCTAAATGATAGTTATACACTTAGAACACCAGCTATATGTTGCTGCCTTAGTTTATAAGATAGTTACACCGTGGGAATACCAACAGTTTGCTGGTAATACACACGCAATAAACACATAAAAGACAAAGTAGTCGCCATTCTTGGATGACTCACCCTTCCTTGAGGAGATTTCGAACTTCTTATGGTGGAAGAAGATAAATATGGTAGTGTAGCAGACTACCATGATACCCAGGGGCAGCCAGGTGAGAACTATAATACCCACCGTCCACCAGATGTGTATTTTGTCTTTCTCTCCACAGATGGTCTGAGTTAGGTCCTTCCAGATATGCACCTACAAATAAAATGTGGCTGTTAGCTGTAAAGCCTATGGACTACACGAGGCTCGTTAAGATTGTAATTCACCTGTACACCGACATTGGGAATACTTTAGTGCTAGTAATAGTTTACCAGTGTTGGGTTACCTCAGCATAGTGGTTGAGGCTGGAACAGCAGGAAAGTTTGGAGTTTTAGGACTCACTCGCCATGGATTCAATCTCCACCCGTTCCGTGATTTCTTTTTTAAGAAATGCCATAAATGGCGGGAAGATTTCTCCTTTCGGCAAAGCTTGTTCTGACTTGAAACAAATTGTAGATAGGGTTTGGACTACTGGATTGCTTATTATTATTATTATTATTATTATTATTATTAAAGATTCGCCTGCATTTCTCCAGGCCCTGGCCTTTTCCAAGTGGTGGCCCGACCTTGGCTCCCTGTCTAGGGAGTGTCTGAGACCTAAGTCTCCCATGGGAGGAGGCACAAGTACCCCCTCATCTTTGGGACCAACTGTCCCCAGGCCTAGCTTCTCGTTGGGAGAAGCTAGGCCTCTTTGGTCTGCCATCCCCGCCCCAAGGGGAATAATGGGAATGACAGTCTTATGAGCTGCAAGCTCGGGCTCAGGCACCTACCCTACCCTAGAAGGGCTAGGCATGGTGTCGATCGCTTCATTTTCTTGTGCATACGTAAAGGCTTCATTCTAGATAGTTTATATTAATTCTTTTAGCTAATTTATATAAAGACTTCCTTCTAGCTGGTTTAGAAGCGGCTGAAGAGGGTCTCCAGTTGAACCGAAAATATCGACTCTATTTTCTTACTACTGAAAGTGGGCTAATATTAGAGTTTACCCATATGGCCGTCTCCCATCCCACAGAGGCAGGGTAACCCAAAAAAGATACACTTTCATCATTCACACCATCTCTGTCTTGCCAGAGGCAAGACTGATAACCACAGCCTTAAATACTCACTGTGTATACCCTGTAGACTGCCCATGGAACAGCCATGGTGGCCGACGACACCCAGATGATGATGATGATGGTTAATGATTTCCACTTCTTGAGGTGCTGGTGGAAGGGACGGACCACGCCCATCATGCGGTCAAAACTGATCGTCGCCAGTGACGTTACACTGACGAAGAGCACCAGAACTGCAAGTGAGCAAGTGTTTGTGAATTAGGTTGAAAGCCTAGCGAGTCAGTAAGGCTGCATTTCCCTTGCACCGCTAGTTTGTCAGGTTTAAAGCCTAGAAACTGCATGTGTTGTATACCCCACCAGGGGTTTTTGGTCCAAGGAACTTGATGTATCCTCCCCTTCCTTGAATTGAATCTGAGTGCCTCCCCTGGAGCTGTATAGTCCCTACAAGTTCAGCGCATCCCACTGACGCTGCTAGCAGACGGAGGATCAAGCCTCAACCACGCGTTGTACTGAATTACCCACGAGGTTTTATTTTTGCTTAACATAATAATAATAATAATAATAATAATAATAACAATAATAATAATAATAATAATAATAATAATAATAATAATAATAATCTTGTGTAACTATAATTCTTCAAGGTGTCTTCTTATTCCTAGTCCTCCTTTACCTGTCGCTGACCTTATTACAATCTTCACGTGTAGTCCTTGACTATCACTGACCTTGTCTCTGGAGCCAAACCTTAATTAAGGAGTCACATGTTAGCCTCAACGACCTTCATAGCTCATTTGTTATCGTAAAAGCGGTTATCGTGACATTTGTTATCTCAGGTATGTTCTTAACTCCCCTCCCCTCCCCTCCCCTTCCTCTTTAAATTCGGTGTTGATATTTCGTTCGTCAGAAGAAACGGGGGGAGGGGGGGTCAGAAGAAACGGGGGGAGGGGGGGAATGTTTTTGACAGGGGTGCTGATCGCATGATTTTGAAAACTTTTTACGGAAAATATGACTATCCTCTTCCACACTGTTGAATCTACAAGTTAACAGCTCTTATCGTAATTTACAGGCTAATACCTGTCTCCGTAATTTACAGGCAAACAGTTGCTAGCGTAACTTGTGTCAAAGTTACCACCCCTGCAGGATACCGCCCACAACAATCGACTAACACCTAGTCTCTATTTACTGCTAGGTGAACAGGCGCTACACTGGTGGAAGAAGGATGGGTCAGGGATGGAAATATGAGAAAAGGGTGGGTGGGTGGAGGGAAGGTGGGTAATAAAGGTAAGTGACCTAATCATTTTGGTGCATTTTATACAAGTGTGTGTGTGTGTTGTTATTCATGAATACATCGAATTCATAAGATGGGTATACCTCCTACCCATCAGCTGCACACAGTTATTTCAGTTGTTAATAATGATGGAAATGGGTGAAAGTGCAAACTTGACCTGTGAGGAATCATAGTATATACAGTCTTTATTTTATGAGACAAAGCGGAAGACTGGTTCACTAAATAGTAATAAGACGATTGATTGAAAATAAGTGACAGAACGAGAGACGTAAAACTCGCAGACCGGTGTGTTAACCAGCGGCATGGACCAGTGGTTAACTCATTGGCTTGAGAGCTTTAAGACTTGCCGGCCATGGGTTCGACTTCACCCGTTCTGTGATTTTAAAACTGGAGGATACTGCTATGGTCATAAACTATTAATTTGCCACTCTGAGGTGGAGTGCTGCGCAACTCTTGCGGAATGCTGACTTAGTGCTTTCACAATAATAATATAATATTATTATAAATTTAAGCGTTAAACCAATAATAATAATGATATGAAAGTAATAACAAATATCAGGCTTATTGCTCTAATATACACAACACCATAATTTCTAACAATAAGTGTAACTACATGCCAAGGTAACCACAATGTGCAAATCTTCAGCAGTGAACCATCATATAAAACTGATAAACAACCGGTGCCCAAGAAATGTCAAATTTTATTTTTTAATTTAAGAAAACTGGGTAAATCAGCAGTGCGGCTACCCTGTGTAACCATACAGTGGGAATAAAGCTAATTATATTTTATCTGTCATATTTTATCACACAGGATGGGGCTCTATAAAGGTGTTGAAATGTATCAACCTGAGCTGGAAGATTCAACACGGAAACGAGATATAGTCAAGTATTCCAGGAAGCGTTCTTCAGCTACGGCAGCTTCAGGGGATTCGTTCCAGCATACCTGGAGTTACTATTACTTGGGAACTGTCATGGCAAGCATCCTCGTTAGGGATTGGGGAAGGAATTCCACGTACTCTGTATATAACCCTCGAGATGGCACCAAACCCGCCCCAGCGGCCAGAAGTCGCTAGTATTGTAGACAGTGAATGGTACTGGCCCGGTAATTGCCAAGATGAGGTCTGCGATGGACATGTTAAGGATAAAATGATTGACGGAAGTTCGAAGTAACAGACGGTTCTTGAGGAGGATAATGATTATGGTCAAGTTGCCTAGTAAGGCCACCAGCATCACTAGGATGGCATAAGTCCATCTCACGCCTAGTTCCCAGCTCTCAATATACGTTAGGTTAAGTCTATCTGTGTAATTGTAGTCTCCAAAACAAATTATATTACTGTTGCTGTATTTACAGCAAGATTCATTACAGCTGATTGTGGACAAAGTTATATTTTTTAGCGTAGTGTATGTCATATAGTTATTCATTTTTATGCTTAAGTACTACAAATTCATATTTTCAATATATTTTTCAGTCGTGTCATTTGTCATTGCACTTGTTTTCATGTCATTTTGAATTAAACTTGCTAATGAGCACCATTACTGATAATTATTGGTTGTTTACGCTGTAAACATAATTTGTAAAACTATTTAATATAACTGAGACAACCACCGAAATTAAATTTTCATAAATAATTTAAATATGCATTCTCTTTTGTCACGTTGATGTGTTTAAATCCTAAATCAGTGAATACTTTTCAGCAGCCATCAGATTTAACGGCAAATATATCATTATAGGTAGTTAGATGAAACAATTTTCAAAATATGCTTCGTCGAATGAAGCAACGTTGTTATTTTCAGCAATGAGATCACAATAAGTGCTAGACGACCCGTGTTTCTTAAGGTGTGTAAATAAACTGATACAAGTAGAGAAGGATGCTGCTTGTCAATATCTTTCCTTATCTCTCCCTCTTTTTCTTGCTTCATATTATTTCGGTCACCTCTGTCGTATATATTGTATCAAATTCATGTATATAATCTTACTCCATCATGAAGAAATGCCAACTGCTTATAGTTAGGATGGGAAAAAAGTGTTAATATACTAAGCAAATTAAGTCTTCAAGACCTCCTTTATGATAAATTATGACTTAAAATAGGTTTGAAGTTAGCATTTGTGGGCGAAGATTTTTGAGTAGGTCAATAGTCAGACATGTTGATCCCTAAGATAGGAAGACAAAAGATTCTTTACGATCTGCTTAATCTCACTCACATAATTACAAGGTACTTGTAGCCATCTGAAGGTCGCATGCCATGAACAATATTTGGTGACAATTGCAACTAATGTAAGAAAGGGTAATTTTTTTAACAAGTTTTTAATGCACGTATTAATTAGAGCGACCATTCTATGATGCTTTCCCAAAAATGTTAAAAAGAAAAAAACTAAATTAAATATAAGAGGTGAAACAAGGGATAACTGTGTTGTTTTAAAGTCAATGGAAAAAATAGTTTGTAACTTACACATCTCAGAGAAGGTTTCTTCATAATTATATATTGAGTCTTAAATCAGTGTAAGTAATGAATATTATGCAGAGAATAAGGAATGAAGAAATAAGAAGGCGTGATTAATGAAAAGTATGATTCAAAGAGAGAGATGATAGGTTGCTTTGGTCATGTAGAAAGAATGGAAAGTGTATTAAATGTGTAGGGCTGTGTTACAAAAAGGCGATATCTATAAAGTATAGACATCTCCAGCGAATACTAGGTCTCCCCCTCTAGCATTCAGCCTGTTTCTGGTTTTTGTAACAATTCAAAAAGTATTCTGGTCCAGTTATCCTTTAAAATTATGATAAATTTTAATAGTGCTTTAGGATTGCAACTGATAGGATACTAACTAACGAAATAAAAATTAAGAAGTTTGTTAACAAAGTTGTCTAGGTGGACAAAACCAAAGTAAATGAATTTGAAATAATTTAGAATGTAAGCTCCTACACTTCTCTTGTAGTGCAAAGTTAAATTGTACATATAGTAGTATAGTGCTGAAGGCACATTTCGTAACAGTACGACTCGTAAGTACCATCTGGTACATTACTATCATATATAAAAAAAAAACTAGTATATACAAATGTGAGTGTGTGCTCAAAGTGCTCGTTATGTCTCAGCAAGACTCGACTCGAAGGTGACTGACACCAGTCCATAAATAATCTATCTTCTCGACCATCAAGGTAATCAAAACATCTTGCTTGATTAAGACGAACCATTCGCCAACAACAATAATGTAACAAGCAGCAACACAGCGTCAGGAACAAGGAGACAAAATAGCGACCCTAACTGGACCATCAGCAGACCCTCCGTAAGTCATAAAACTCCCTTAATACTGAATCTAAGTTCAGTATAACTAAGCCCCCGACTACGACAGTACGTAGATGCCACACAAAATAGGTCAGAAGCTTTAGCTTGGTACCTGGGTTGAATTAGTGTCAGTACGACACACAACCTCAGTAAAACGTCAAAAATCACCAAGTCTAAATAACGTACAGAGACGAGAGACGTGCTCCCCAGGCCAGGAGCAGATGAAGAGAAGGAGGTGCTGGTCGAGCGATGACCAGCTGTGGAGAGAGATTTCTCGACCACATGCCTCACATCAGGTGAGATCACATGACTCGCCCGTGCTACTCCAGCAACGGCGCATTATTAAAATCATGGGGGAGTGCTAAACCCATAGGATTATACAGCACATGGGGGATATGATGGAAGGCATTCAGGCTCAATTCAGGGAACTGGAGCATAAATCCAATTCCCTAGATCAAGAGCCCCTCACCAGTATCAAGGAATCTCCCAGAGGGGAGCAACGGCGCAAGGTACAGCCGGACACAAGCACGCGAGCGGTAGTTAGCAAGGCAGTTTGCGACGGAGGACAGCCAATCGGAACTCTTCAACGGCGAGCACATAGCTAATATAATAAGTCAAATAGCAATATAAAGCAAGATATTTTCATTTTAGCTATTAATGAAAATATCAGCAATATAAAATTACGTGAAAAGATAAATATATACATACAATTTACATAAATATACACTATAAACATTGGGTCCTATTCAGGGGGCGAAATAGGTTGCAAATAATGTCAAGAAAGTATGAGCGTATTTAGAGATAGGAGTTTGATTTGTTTTCATTCCTCAAAAAGCACTAAACTCATCACGATCTTTCAATGCTGAAATACTGATGAACTACGCATTTTTTTCACCTAGGTATCCAAATGCAAAATACTGTTATTCAGCCAAGGACACTTCGCCCTTCACTTTATTTACTTACATTCCGAAATCGAAGCTAGATGTGATCTTTTACATTCAATCACCAGGGTAACCCAGCTAGGGGCTAAAATAGGGATTTGAATATCCAATAGGAATCTGTGAGTGTTTGAGATCAAATTGAATTGAGATTAGTATTTTAGGGGCCTTTACTTGCTGTTGTAATGCAAGAGAACCTATTGTTTTACTATTCTTGACTCAGATATCTAAATAACACACACTAGTCCTCAGTCTAGTTAAAAGTGGATAGTTCTCAGCTTTTACCCTCAGTATGGACTTCCATGTCCTCTACTGTCTATCTGTATTTCCCATGAACTCTCGTGCAATGAAATATCGTATATGAAGGGATTCAGGGAAACAGGTTAAGCCTGACCTGAATTATGGATGTGAGAAATACAATACCTGCACATTGTAATTCGAGTGTGGGTTGTTCTATGGGTCATCATTGTTCTAGAGTGACGATGATGTTCTTCCTCTGGGTCACTCTGCCATACAGGGATACGACCGACGTGTAAAAGAATATTAATAAAAAACAAAAGTCGTTTTATTTTTCATTATATAATACAGCTTGGGGCGGTATACACTGATAATATGGGATCATTATTTATATACATTTTGGTTCAATTGCAGATCCTCCAGTTGAGGTGATGTATATAAAGTGCTCATGTTCTATTATAAATATATATATAATATATATAATATATATATATATATAATATATATATATATATATGTATGTATGTATTTTTTTTCAACAAGTCGGCCGTCTCCCACCGAGGCAGGGTGACCCAAAAAGAAAGAAAATCCCCAAAAGGAAAATACTTTCATCATCATTCAACACTTTCACCTCACTCACACATAATCACTGTTTTTGCAGAGGTGCCCAGAATACAACAGTTTAGAAGTATATAGAAGTAGAGTGCAGGCATTGTACTTCCCATTTCCAGGACTCAAGTCCGGTTATATAAAATAACCGGTTTCCCTGAATCCCTTCACTAAATATTACCCTGCTCAAACTCCAACAGCTCGTCAGGTCCCAAATACCATTTGTCTCCATTCACTCCTGTCTAACACGCTCACACATGCTTACTGGAAGTCCAAGCCCCTCGCCCACAACACGTCCCTTACCCCTTCCCTCCAACCTTTTCGAGGACGACCCCTACCTCGCCTTCCTTCCCCTACAGATTTATACACTCTCCGAGTCATTCTACGTTGATCCATTCTCTCTAAATGACCAAACCACCTCAACAACCCTTCTTCAACCCTCTGGCTAATACTTTTAGTAACTCCACACCTCCTAATTTCCGCACTCCGAATTATCTGCATATTTACACCACACATTGCCCTTAGACAGGACATCTCCACTGCCTCCAGGTACCTCCTCGCTGCAGCATTTGCAACCCAAGCTTCACACCGATATAAGAGTGTTGGTACCACTATACTTTCGTACATTCCCTTCTTTGCCTCCATGGATAACGTTTTTTGTCTCCACAGATACCTTAACGCACCACTCACCTTTTTTCCTTCATCATTTCTATGGTTAACCTCATCCTTCATAAACCTATCTGCTGACAAGTCAGCTCCCAAATATCTGAAAACATTCACTTCTTCCATACTCCCTCTCTCCAATGTGATATCCAATTATATATATATATATATATATATATATATATATATATATATATATATATATATATATATATATATTATTGTAACCACGAACGAGTGGTATTGATCAATAACAACACTGCGCTAGCCAAGGATTCGAACCCATGTTGTACTGGCCTGCCTCATGGTAAGCGAGAACCACATGACGCTTTAAACCACAGAACCACCCAACCCTACAAGAATAGTGCAGCCAGGACACAGCTAGCTGTTGGGCCGCCATCCGAGGGCATACGGAGGTGTGGGAGCTTCTAAGCTAATTTTATTCTCGTCCCTGTTTGGTGTACTAGCCTCACGAGCAGTATTTATATATTAATGTAACCACTCGTTCGGTGGGAGACGGCCGACTTGTTAAAAAAAACAAAAACAAATATATATATATATATATATATATATATATATATATATATATATATATATATATATATATTGCACTACGAATCATGCCACGGGCATCATAAATATTGCAAACAATTCTCATATATGAAAGAGCATCAGCAGCCACCGGCCGTTTCCGTAAACCCGCGTGGTGGAAATATGGTCATAGCTAAAGCCTAGTTCAGTATGATTATAAGTTTTATTAAATATCATTATTATTATTTTCAATTCGAGGAAGGAGACGGCAGCTCAATGCTTTGGATCATGAACTGTTGAAGAGCTCAGTTCAATGTCAATTCTCGGAGACTACGAGCGTTGTCAGCGCTAAGAAAAATCCAGATGTCGAGAAGCCATCTAATAAGAATTCAGCTTAAACAATAATACATTACATAACTTTCGTTACACTACGGGCATAACCCACACAAAGGTAGATTTACAATAAGATCTGTACAAAATATAATTTAGTCCTTAAATAAAATAAAGTTACAGTCAAACAATCACAATGTAAATAAAAATAGTCAGTCAAATACATATTTACAATGTATTTTAATAAATTCAAGTATTTGTACATCTAAAAATACAGAGCTGCATACACAAACACGGAACACTTTGCAATAACCATCTGTTGTCGATATGCAAGATTTTGACCAGCATAAGGTATACCGCAGTTTGTCGGTATCACCAAACTATTTAAGACCAGATACCGGAAAGTAGTGAGGAGACAAACCTACACTCAGGTATATTAGCTGTTTCATTTAACTGACCACAGTTAAGTAACCTCAAAGGTTTCACGTGCCTCTTCATTAACCTTGAAAGTAAGAACACCTTAAATGATTTATAAAACTTCTTAGGGTTAATTTTTCGAAAGAAATGGGCCTTGATCATTCCAAGGCCACTTTTTTTTTATTAAAAAACAAGCACTGTATAGAGCGTTCCTCACAGAGGAATAATTCACCATACAATACATGGTTTCTTGACCACCAAGTGTGTGTTCTCCCAAGTGATATAACTTTCAGCACCGTTCAATATATATAATGTAATATAATTTGTGTCCCCTTAAGCCACTTCGCTTTTGACTTTTGTTGGTTGGTTACATGGGCATAAAGTCCATCTGCTATAAGAAGGAAGGGTCATTAAGGCTGCATATTGCCTTTCACCACTAGTCAAAAATATTTTAATCCCTAAAATAGAGATTAAAACAAGCTCTCGGCGTACACATTGAAAAAAAATATACACCTTTCAAAGTATATAATCAGTTTTAGGATGGTTAAATTTGGCTTAAAGCCTATAGACACACGAGGGTCACCAAGGCTGTATGTTACTTATTCACCATCAATCTAGAATATTTTAATCCCAGATATGGGCTAATTAGGATAAAAGATATTTACTTCTCCACATGTGACTTTTCTGTTGCTCTCAATGTACACACATCAACAGAGATGTACTCATCAGAAAAGTTTTAATTCTTTTGGAACTTTCAATACCTCCTCAGTGCGACTTCATAATACACGCTCGTTTTCTACATCACTGGATGTTTCTTCTACTATAACTTGTGTAATGAGGTGCCCTAAAGCACCCGTGCTCACGAAGGACTGTCTCCTGGGCTGCAGGTCCATGACATATCCCTCGTTGGCATAAGATAAGGGGAGCATTGTTCTTCCATTGCCAATGTCGCATCTGTTACGTGTTCCTGAATCTTCAGAAAAGCTCCGTCTCCTTTGCTTTCTTGACTTGATATCCAGGGCAATCGAAGTTGCTACTGCTGAAGTTGATACTACAGCTGAAGACGTCACTTGGTTTCTCCCTTGGATTCGGTCTCTCAAATTTCGTCTGCAAAAGTTTACAAGAGTTTTTGAATAAAACTGAGTTATATGCTTTTATAAATATTTAGTGCTATAAAGCATTAGCCGTGTTAGCAGTGCTTGACAAATGTTGTGACAGAGGCTGATGAGTGACTGTCTCAAAGACTGAACGACCTGTCACTACTAAATAAACCGCAGATATCGTAGAACTAACTTTAAACAAACCGAAGGTATCGTGAGGGAAAACTGTAGCTTCTAAGCAAACCGCAGGTATCGTAAGAGGGGAAAACTGTAACTTCCTAGCAAACTGCAGATATCGTAAAATAATATTAATTGCATCAGACTAATGAAGGGAAAAGTGAAGACGCAGTGGCAGATTTAAATGGGTGAATGTTGTAGCTATATTTGAGAAGAGAACGGAATCGTTCTGGCAGTTTAAAGTAGTGTGTGGTAGTGACACTCGATGAGAGAGTGAAGTCACAATGACAAGTTGAAAAATATTTGTGATAAGTTACACTAGAAAGGAATGTGACAGAACTGAGCGTCAGGTTCTCCGAAGTCAAATAACGAGAGTCAGACATGAATGCTGCTTCAAAAGAGACTACCAATCTGGACCATTTAATTAATAGTATTCTAGATAGTTTTCAGAGTAGTATTCTGGACTGTTTAACCGAAATTCCGGAGGGATTACAGAACCAGTTTGTACCTAGCCAGTGAGAGAAATAGATAAAGGAGAATATAAATTACATGATATTTTACGAAAATTTGACAAGAATTTTTGTCATATAATACAAATTATCCACAGGAAATACAAAAATAAAATAGGAGTAAGAGTATAATATAATGTACATTGCTGGCATATTTTCGGATATTTAAATGTGCGGATTGGAAAAATGCTAAAAAATACACATTTATTGGACATATATTGAAATATGACTTGATATGGTATCCAGCATTTAAAGAAAAACAAATATATTAATTTAAACGAACATTTGTACAGTACAATTGTCTAACCGAGGAATGATGCGCCTGCAATAAGTTATATCTCAGCAGGTAATTATGTCTCTTCAATTATGCTTCTGCAGCAGATGATTATATTCCGGCAGCAGGTAAATATTCACTTGCAGTAGGCAATTATGCCTGTGCAACAGGTAATTTTGCTACTACAGAAGGTATTAAGTCTACAGCAAATAAGTATGAATCTACAGCAGGTAATTATGCCCTTGCAGGAGGTAAATATGCCGATGGAGGAGATAATTCTGAAGAGACAACTTACGGTGGGCTAGTGAGCAGGTCGTTACCGTAAAGAGTGGACGAGGATTTGATAGACCACACATATCTATTCATCCCTTGGCCAGGTGTCAGCACCAGCGAGGACTGTAACAAACATCATCATTTTTAAAGGTTATAGATTATTCTCGATGTTACTGTACACAAAAACATAACGAACTTGAAAAATTATAAATGTAGTTTAAATTATCTAAGAAAATTAGATAGTTTATAACCCTCGAAATTTCACTAATGGCGTTGTTTGAAACCTCTCGTATATTTTTAAAGCCGTGCAATAAAATAAACGGTTTTAAAAACTTTATTTCGACTTGTCTATATATAAAATATTTTACCTATGAAAATTAATTTGGTGTTATAGTACACATAAAATCTGAAGGTTTGTTAGTGGTTCGTAGGCAACTCCATATGAAGCTGTAAGATGGTGTACACTGTACCCAACAGTATAGGCTATTTTGTGTAGAAGAGGCTGATCATACTGACAGTCAGTGGGACTGCTCCTTAATATCGCCATCGAGTCAGATACTACTACAGGGACTGTGCAAACAAGCCTGTGAATGCTGAACGCTACCTCAATGCTTCCCAGCTATACATTTTATTCACTTCTTTGCGCCAAGGGAAGAGTTGAAATACTCTTTTAATCCCTCAGTTCCATTTATGTGATTGTAAAAGTTGGATCGGAGAATTACTAACCTTGTTATTGAAGAAGCAGGAGAAGGTGACACGGAACGCTCTCCTGAAAGTCTGGTGCATGAGAGCGTACACGATGGGGTTGATGGCAGGGTTGGTGTAGATCATGTACTCTGACACTGTCAGCAAGATGCCGTACGTCTACTAGGAAGATCACCATTTCATACATTACACTTGAAGAAATGGTCGTGCAAGTATCACATTCAACAATAAGGTAAATATGGCATTACAGTGTATAAAGAACATTATACGGTTTTCCATTTTCAGTTAAAATTACCAACAATAATTTTTTTTTCTAAACAACTATCAAAAATAAAAATCGGATAAATATATTCAATATACTAACATTATATAAGGATGGATATTCGTTCTTCGTTTTTTATATTCATCAGGAGAAATAACTTAAAGTGGATGTTATTCACATTATATATATATATATATAATATATATATATATATATATATATATATATATATATATATATATATATATATATATATATATATATATATATTATATTCTCTACGTCCAAAGCAGGACTCGAACCTGTTAACAATGTATCAGGGTCCACAGTACTGTACCACGGGCTAGACCCGCGATAAGTATGGGCGCTTAGCCAAAGCTAAGTGATGTTTCCCTATACCCCCGGGCACCAAGCTCGTTTTGAAAGTTATTTCATCGAATCCTGCCACATGCAGTGGACAATGAAAGAGATTTGAAATGCTTAACTTCTCGTGGGTCTAGTTCCGTGGTAAAGTACTGTGGACTCTGATACAGAGTTAGCAGGTTCGAGTCCTGTCGTGGACGTAGAGACAACGTTTGTAAATAATTTCGCCTGTTTGCGAATTGTTAAGCGCATATATATATATATATATATATATATATATATATATATATATATATATATATATATATATATATATATGCAATAAGATCACAGTAACCAGGTGATTTCAGAATAAGCAAAACAACCACTGTGAAAGAATAGAGAAATTCCAAGCACTTTCGTGAGTAGTCACGAAAGCGTTTGGAATTTCTCTATTCTTTCACAGTGGTTGTTTTGCATATATATATATATATATATATATATATATATATATATATATATATATATATATATATATATATATATATATATATATATATATATAATATATATATATATATATATATATATATATATATATATATATATATATATGCTCGAAATATAAATGCTGAATGCTTACTTTAATCTCTCGTTTAGGGTTGATAAAGTATTGGTATCTGGTAGTGTACAGGCAATTTGCAGTCTTCTTGCTTACTCTTGTAGCCAAAAGGATTTACAAACCTAATAAAGCAACCGATCTATGTACACCAATCTTAGGGCATCGCCATGTGGCAATCCTTTTTTTGTTAAATGATATGTAACAGCCTTGACCAAATGATGACAGCCTAGCTGAATCATCATTTAATCAAGACTCCTTTCAGGAGACACTGTCCCCTTTCCTGACGAACAAAACACCACCATTACCGTGACAATACAGTCGTAGAATAACACGGTATATGGGTTATGCCATTTTAAATACTATATATAAACACATTTCGCCAACCTGGGATTTTATTCCATAGCCTGCATGTTGTGTCATTTACACACACCACTGCCACTGTCGGCCTACAAGTTATACACTGTTTATACGTCTCACCTCTTTAGCAGCAGGGTTCTTGAGGTGACCCTCGCTATCAATAAAATTTTTCTTCGTTAACATGAGGATCTGGAAGGGCAGCCAACAAGCACTGAAGACAAGCACCACCACAAACATCATTCTCACCACCCGCTGCTTCAGGTGCACAATGGCTGGATGTTCTGAAAACAGTTATATACACATTTTTGTTGGTACAGCTAAATATTTATATACATTTTTGTATTTAAGAAGAATAATTACTCATAAGACAGCAGAACGGTAAAAAAGTGTAATGGATGAGAAAAAATATGGGAAACAATTAAGAATGTAATGGTTTAATGTTATTATATTCACAAGTTGCTCATTTGTTCTATATAGCTTGCAGTTTATTGTTGTAAATTATGTAAATATGAAGACTGTCAGTACACTATGATAATATCCAGATAAAAATATATAAACAGTAATAAATGAAAAGGCACAATGGCCACAGACACGTGTATGAAAACAATAAGCAGAATAAGCTTGCATTACGAAGTTTCGCACAGGGCTGAGCTTTTTAAAGCTCTACCCTGAGCGAAAAGTTGCCTCAATGAAAGCTTGTTCTGCATATTGTGTATTCATACTAATGTAATTAGGGATCCCATTTAATTTTAATTAACCAAGAACTGCGACACGTAATAAAATTTAGACCAGATACCCATCACTCAGTAAAATGAAGCAAGAGTAATTTGTGATTACAACGATGAGAACTCATATAACACAATTTTACACAGAAGTACAAAGAAATAATAGGAATAAAAATACTGCTCAAACTAGTCACTTAGGGACATTTGACTTCCCGATCCGAATTTGGTAGGGCACCTCCCCTAAAACCGGGATTGTGGGATCTTTACATGTAACCGTAATGTCTAGACTTGTCTCTTGCGCTGATTACTGTGCAATCATCACCTTAGTTATGCAGAAGAATTAGAGACATGTGCAACATCCGGATAGCTATATTTTGTTGACGTTTCGCAAATCAGTGGATTATCAATACAATACAGGGACAAAACGGACGACTGAATGAATTAATGACTCACAGGTAAGACCCATAAGGGGTGGGCGGGGGAGGTTGGGGGATAGACGAAGAATAGCTCTGGAGAGGTACGTCTTTAGTCGTAGAAAAAGAGCCAGGGCTAAACCCAACCGCAGAGCATTGTAAGGCAGATGTAAAAAAAAAAAAGCAGGCTACTTCCTGAACGTGCTGACTGTAGTCTTGAGTATATCTTGATAATGTAAAGAAGGGCGGCAGGTAGGTAGGTGGATCACTGGAAAGAGGCACCTTCAAGATTCAAGATGATAGATGTGTCGATTTACTGCTGTTTGTCAGTAGGGGAGCCATTAAGTCTTCTGAAGGATGATTTCGAGAGATAGACAATTTTAATCTTGTTATTGGAGTCGTTTTTTAACGTTCCAAGGCATAAAATTATGTCTTGAAGTGTAACTAAGTTTTCCGGGGTGGTGGTAAACTTGACAGTTCCTTGTTGAAGTCTAGAGATCACTTCCCAATGCATCGTTTTTCTGCACAGTTCAGTTGTGTAGAAGGCCAAATTTTCCCAAGTTCTCTCTTTTTCTTCTTCCAGTTGTTCATTTTTTTCCTCGGATAGTTGTGTATCTTCAGTAGGCTGGAAGACTTGAGACAAAGGTTGTGATTGGTCAGGAGCAGTGGTGGAAGTCGTTGGTCGCATGTCATCATTGGCAAGATCTGTAGAGTCTTTGTCATTGGCTGGAGATGGTTCTGAGCAAGAGTAGTTATCAGGTTCTGGGATCATGTCTTCAGTTGCTGTGAAGTTTAAGATTTTTGGAGTAATCTTGAGTATATCAGCTGAAGATGGAGAATCGGGGAAGGTAAAACTTGGCATATTGTTTAGTCTGAAGAATTCATTGATACTTGTGTTGAAGGAAGCCAGGTTGTGCTACATTTTACATGTGAACAAACATCATGCAATAGCAATTTTTTTGTAGGAGAGCCATCAGGTAGTGGAGAGAGTTAGTTACTGGCAGAGGGCGTCGGTTCAATGGCTTTAAGAATTTTGGTGGTGTCAGCTTACGTTGGAGATTTGGTAGATGCTTTCTTGCGTTCCTCTGTTTTTTTTGATAATTTCTTTCCTCATAGGGCACTTAGCAGCAAGAGTGCGATGTTCACTCTTTCAGTTCAGGCATTTTGGAGGAGAGGTGGTGGTTCAAGCCTTGAAATCATGCCTTTCATAGCCACAAGTCGAGCAGAATTTCTTATCCTTGATAAGACAGTCCTTGGAGAGATGCAGTTAGGAGTAGCAGCTCCAGCAGAGCGTGAAGTGTTGAAATCGGTCAGCTTCAATACGGCTAGGATTTATGTGGTAGTAAAAGATTCCCATTCCATCAGCAAGAGCTTGGGCTGCCATGGTAATGTCAGTGAAGGTAATCTTTAGCACTGAAGGGGCATTTGGAATTTTGGTGATGTAGTCCACAGTTGCCTAATTGGTGTCTTGAGTTCGTCAATAGATTGGGTTGTTACAAGTTTCTCTAGCCCTCAGTGCTGGAGAAGACATAGCGTGGAAGCCACGTTCAATGAATGCATCTTTGAGCGAAAGAATCGCATTAAATTTAACCTGCAAGCTACTCCTCACAATAGCTGCAAGTGCTAATTTGGACGAGTCATTTACTGTCTTAATACTAAGCTTAATCTTCACACGATTTGAATAATACATCGTGGAAGAGCACAGATGACGATTGCAGAAGTTAAAAGTTCCCTCCCCAACGGGGATCGTAGGGAGACTGCAGAGGTGTAAGTCACCGTGTCCTGCCTGTTACGAGGTCAGCAGTGCAATGTTTTGAATTTATTGGAAGACTGAAGATGAGGCAATCCGTTCCCCAACCTAGGAGTGATTGTTCAGCACAATAAACTTGATATCTATGGTGTAGCTATAATAACCATTATTTTTAAAGGGGTGAACCGGTAAGCTAGAGGCAGGCCTCGGTCAGATGACCAAAAGCTCCAGCTGTGGGTCATCATATGACCAAGACGCGCCTCAGGAAACACTTCTGTTTCCTGCTATGGTGCTGAACACCTGCGGCTAGGCTAAGGAACTTTACCCCTGTCTTCTATCCTTTCTCTATAATTTTGCAAGGCTGAGGGACTGATTACCTCCTTTTCTTCAGGCTTCCGTTTTTGTTCCTATATTATATTCATAAAGACACTGGTTGGCGGAACATCTACAGACTAAAGATACCCAGATATTGCACGTGTCTATTCTTTCAGCTTGTCGGTATTGTATGCTACTGATATTATATTACCTTAATTATGTACCCTATAGTAGGCCTATTATTACGAGGATTTTTTTTTACTCGCCTCTTTTATTAAAAGTTCTCCTAAAGTTTGTTCGTTTGAAAGAGACGAATATTGTGGTATAAGAGACGACCATGATGACTAGAGGAAGCCAAGTTAGGCCAGTGATGCTCACCACCCACCATACACGAATTTTATCATCTTCTTCTCCACAAGTTCTCTCCGTCAGATCTTTCCACTCGCGTACCTACATAAACATAAAATCTTATTTGTATTTACATGGTGCTGGGTTAGGTAATGGGGTCTAAAGCCTATCGACAATGACACTAGGGTCATTAAGGCTACATTCCAAGTGTTCAACGGACAAGTATACTTCAATCATTATAACAGGGATTAAAGTTAACTCTCATATATACGCCGAAAGACATACACTTCTTAGTGCACATACATACATGTAAGATTTATTTATAAGTATATGTATTTTTAAAAACGTTTCTACGTACACAGAACTGAATTTAAATAAGTTTTTCAGATTAAAAATTGCATTTTTACTTAATCTTTCATTTGTTAATTTGATGAAAATATTTACTAAAAAGTTAATTACTCGTTTGAAATTGCTTTTGATTCTTCGTTTATTAGTTAATAAAAATTAACTGACAATGTTCTGTTGCCCAAGTGAAGTTGTTATTGAGTCTGTATTTGTTAATTTACTAAAACAATTGAAAATAGATAATTACTAAACTGAAAGTTTTTGACTCTTTTTATTAATTAATAGAAAATGAAAATAATTGACTGAAATTGTTTTTAATTACTTCATTGAAAACTTCTTAATTCCCCATTCAGTAGCTAAATAAAAAAAAATCTAAAAATATAACCAAAGTCACTTTCTCTTATTTTATCTAATGAAAGGGACTAGTAAAAATATTTTTAACATGTTACTACGTGCAATACAGTTGCAGACTATCTTAATGCAAGACTCCTAACTCCCCGTGGCTTGTCTTGCATGTTACTAGGTATGATAATTGTACTTATGTGCACTTGTACCTAAATAAACTTACCGTGTAAACCCGGTAGAGGCCGAAGGGAACAGAGAGCATGGCTGACACCACCCAGATGATGACGATGATGGCCAGGGAGTGTCGACGCTTGAGGTGCTGGTGGAAGGGTGACACCACACCCACCATACGGTCGAAGCTTATGGTGGCTAGGGACGTCACACTCACCAACATCACTAACACTGTAGATATAAGTGTATGTAGCTATCATTGGAAGTGTCAGACTGTAGTTAATAATTGTGGGATAGTTATACTCTCACAAGTCGCTAGCAATGTGACTTTCTTTTAACTTTTCTGCCACCGAAGTGACTAGTTTATTGTGCACCCCACATCCATCCTGTGGACGGTAGCGCAAGAGCATATAAATACAGAATAGACCTAGGAACTAGGCCCCGTAAAGAGGTTAGGAGGAGTACACCTGAATATACTGTCTACAAATTGTCTAATCTGTTACAAACAGATTTAAGATATTTGCTTAATGTGAGAATTGACTAGAGTCCTTCAAGTTTGCTTTAATAAACATTGTTAGATCCTTTTTCATCCTAGTTTCCAATACTCGAGTTATATTTATGGAACACCATAATTTATTATTATTATTATTATTATTAAAGATTAGCCGGTATTCTCCCGGCCCGGGCCTTTTCCAAGTGGTGGCCCGACCTTGGCTCCCTCTAGGGAGTGTCTGAGACCTAAGTCTCCCATGGGAGGAGGCACAAGTACCTCCTCATCTTTGGGACCAACTGTCCCCAGGCCTAGCCACAAGCTAGGCCTCTCTGGTCTGCCATCCCCGCCCCAAGGGGGCTAATGGAAATGACAGTCTTATGAGCTGAAGGCTCGGGCTCAGGCACCTACCCTACCCTAGAAGGGTTAGGCATGGTATCGATGACACCATAATTTGCTAATGTAAGGACGACAAACAAACAAATATCTCAGTAAACTGGATTCTACCCCATCTATGTTACAGCACTGTGTAAAAACAGCTGGCCTACTTAAGTAAGGTTATATGGAACACTCCGATATGTTTACTAGATCTTGTTCGGCTAGCCATGTTAGAAATACTCCTATATATTTATTCATACACCTCATCGTACTAATATACATGTGTCTCTCTCTCGTGCCGAATAGGTAAAAACTTACGATTTTTGCTTAAACAGCAACGCTCTTCTTGCCGAATAAGGCAAGCGAAAATTTGTGTATGCAATAATTTTGCAAAAATCATTCTGAGCCCAATAAAAAAAATATTTCTTTGTTTATTATTAAATTATTGAAAACTTATCTAAAATATATTTAGTTGGATTAGGCTAATTAAATTGCGCTTGTTATAATAAGATTAGGTAAGTTTTCTAAGGTACTTTTGGTACAAAATTATTAATTTTTACATTAACATAAATGAATATATATATATATATATATATATATATATATATATATATATATATATATATATATATATATATATATATAAGAACTGTATTTGTACATCAGTGACTAGAACCAATGAGCCAAGAGTCGCTGTTGTAGTGGCTCACCCTCATGTATATGGCCTTAGACACAAATAGTTATTAATTAATGATCCAAGCAGGACTGAAACGTTGTCTCAACTTTCATTGTCCTATGTGCGGGTTATTTGTGTATTATTCCTGTCACAGTATAGAACCTTTTTTTGCTTTATGTGTCCTTGAGTTCAGACACACCGTCTTGCCGAGCGTCTTCCATGGCGCCGGCAACACAATATAACAGGGAAATAAAAAGCATTTGTTCCCTTTGTAACTATCACTCAAACTGCTGATGTATCCAGTTTTGTTAAAAGAACTAAATAGGTCTTCTTATGATAAAGAACAGTGTCAACTTATTCTCCGTGACATCCTCCTTGTCACGGTTTTCAGCATTTTCTGAATTTCAATGAAGGTTAAGCATACTAGGCCAAACTTGAACTAATTCTTGGATACATGATTCTGTCACAATTCTGACAGAACAAGTCCAGATTAGGAATGTTTTGTGTCCTCAGCGACCTCGAGTAGAGCATTTGTCTCACTGTTAGTGGACGGAAGATGGAGCCTTCAGAACTCTTTGTGCTGAAAAACCCGCACAGCTTTAGTGACGCGTGTAAATTTAAGATGGTGGTCTCGGCTGGGTGAAGTAGCCGTTGTAAACCATTTTCCAATGTAGAAACCAAATCACATCGGCGAAGTAATAATTGGACTTAGAAAAGTTTACTTAGTGGTAGACGATTACATAAAAAAAAATTAAGACAAGGTGCAAAGGGAATAAATACACGTATTGTGAGATTTTGGTTTCGTTGTCTTTAACTCATTTTTTTTTTTATTCGCCGGTATTCTCCCGGCCCGGGTCTTTTCCAAGTAGTGGTGACCCGGCCTTGGCTCCCTATCTGTGGAGTGTCTCGAGACTTAAGTCTCCCATGGGAGGATGTACAAGTACCCCCTCATCTTTGGGACCAACTGTCCCCAGGCCTAGCCACATTCCCCGCCCTCACGGGGCTCGTAGGGAGAAGCTAGGCCTCTGGTCTGCCATCTGCCCCGCCCCAAAGGGGCTCGTGGGGATGGCAGTCTTGTGAGCTGCAGGTGGTAGCAAGCAGGCCTTTCTTTAACTTAGCTAATATTTATTTCTTAGTGCCTCCCAATTTTTTAGAAATAATAAGGTACTGTTTGTATATAAAATGTTTTACATAATAAAATAATAATAATAATAATAATAATAATAATAATAATAATAATAATAATTATTATTATTATTATTATTATTATTATTATTATTATATTTATTATATTATTATTATTATTATTATTATTATTAGTAGTAGTAGTAGTAGTAGTAGTAGTAGTATTAGTAGTAGTAGTAGTAGTAGTAGTAGTAGTAGTAGTAGTAGTAGTAGTAGTAGTAGTAGAAGTAGTAGTAGTAGCAGTAGTAGTAGTAGTAGTAGTAGTAGTAGTAGCAGTAGTAGTAGTAAAAGACGGAGGATCGAGCCTCCAAAATGTTGAATAACCCACATGGGTTAAATACTTTATATAAAATAAAAAAAATCCAACTGCCATGAAGACTCACACCGAATAACTTTTTCACAACTAACTTACAAAAGGAAAGGAAAATTAGATAATGTTTCGGTCCATTCTGAACCATTATCAAGTAGCGGCTTGATAATGTTCCAGGACGGACAGAAAAGTTGCCCAGTTTTGACTCTCACTTTGTTTAATTTGTAGAGATATGTTTCTATATATTAAAACCTTGAATACTTAATATATATTGGAGAAAATATTAATTAAGTATATTCAGTTTTTATATTAAATTAGGATAAACAACCAGAACCCTCTGAAAATATAAAAGCATTTGGAATGATTTTGTTCTAAAACTAAGGGAAGAAA